ACTGCACGGGGTCATAGTACGGGCCAATGGAAAGTCGTCGGAATTCCTTGCCACAGTTGGCCAGCCCCATTGCGCCAGAACTCAACTTCTATGCAACACCGTCCGCGCGGCGCGTGTCGCGTGCAGCTCTCTTGGCTTTTTGCCAAGTCCTGTAATTGCGCTTTGGAATACAAGTAAAACGCAATTCCTTTATGCGGATAACATTTTAGGTGCTGCAAAATAAGGACCGAAGATGATGACGAGGCCAGAACTCAAGAGCAACTGTGCTTTTCCTGCAATATTCCTCAGAGGCAGCGCATTCCCACAAAACATGACAATAAAAACGGACAACATGACAATAAAACATGGTAATACAAGCAAAACGCAATTTCCTAACATTTGAGTATATCACTCATGCTTCAAAGTCCGAATGAGCGACAGTGATTAGATGACAAAGGCCCAATGAGAACAACGAATGTAGATGTAAATAAAACAAAATTGAAAAAAACTAAGGAAACGCAAATTAATTGAAATCGCGTTTGCATTTCTACGATCCGGCTCGGAATCGTGGCAAAGCCAATAGAATCCTTGAAACTAAACGAGTGGAATCGCTTAGGCCGTTTTCATTTTCCATGTTTCTGAAATGCGCCGGCCCCTGCGAGGGCTGTCGCAGAAAGCAGCCGCTGCTCTGGTTAATTAGGCCTCGCCATCCAACTTCGGTCCTTATTTTGCAGCACCTAAAATGTTATCCGCATAAAGAAATTGCGTTGTACTTGTATTCCAAAGCGCAATTACAGGACTTGGCAAAAAGCCAAGAGAGCTGCACGCGACCGCGCCGCGCGGACGGTTAACGTGAGTTTGCGAAATGGGCGGTGTGACAAGGAATTGCGACTTTCCCACGGCCCCGTCTCTGACGCCCGTGCGTTTTGGGCGGAGGGACCACCTCCACACTCAACGGGTTCTGAAACGGGCCGAAGTCTACCATATAACGCCTCACTGTTTCGAGCGTACATGTGTCTATTGAAGTGAAAATTGTATATTCACAAACATAACCTGTAGATTGATAACCTTCTCAGATTTCAAGTGCAGCAATACCAGTGGAATCGAGCGCATTTCTAGATCTAGCAGTTGTCCATGATGTTGTCACGTTAACAATATTCCACACTAATCCGCAAGCACTTTCGTGCGTGTGTCTATAGTGAGTCGCCCAATCAGCGTCTTACAATTGGCAGGAATATTCGTCAGGGTACTGTCGTTACCAATTCTACATTGACGTTCATAGCTTAGCCCGATCTCTGTAAACTGCGTTCAGGAAAATGGTAAAATCATATACCTGTTTCTCGAAATAAACTGGTTACTGCTGCTCCGAGTACAAGGCCTAAGCTCCCGTGTCAGACTGGTCATTTGTTAGGTTTGACCTAGTCCCCCGGATAGCTCAAAAGTATACTTGGAAGTCCTTAAACTGCTTTACACTTGTGAGGAACCAAAGCCTAGCAAGGCTCTGGAAACCAGGTGAATGATATCTGAGACGTACCCATCCGAGATATTGAACTGTGGTCTTGTTGGGTGTGGTACGCGCTCCCACGTTGCAGGGCAAAAAAAAAACAAACCAGGCGGAGTTTTGTCCTATCCATTAGCTCAGTACCCTCGTAGCCAACTCCATTATACCAGTTACGGTCACTCTGCGCCAGGGGTCTTAAGTCCCCGTTTTTCTCCAGCAGTTGTGGTCGGATTCCAAAACGCCCAGCTTTGGCATGCTCCCGGCTCTAAAGCAGGAAACATACACGGTATTTTGCGCGGACTAGACGGTCGAAAAGCGTGAAAAAAATTAGTTGAACGCTTGAGAACACCTAATGTGCCTTGCGGAGGTAGCAATCACTGGGTCCGGCGTCAATTCGGCGTATGTTTTTTTCGTCTGCAGACTCTCTCATCGAGAGAGGATGACATGTTTTAACATGGTATAGCCTACGTCAGTCCACCCTCTCACCGTATTCTCTCCCAAAACAACATTACAGTATATGGTGTGGTTAAGCCTTCGCTGGAAAGTAGCTTCACCCCAAGAACTGAGATGTACAGAAGGCAACATCCAGAAGACTCTCTGTAGACCCCGGACGCGCTATAAGCAACGAGTGTTGGCAGGCCTTCGCTTGGGTTCCTGGATAACGAGGGATTAGGTATGGAACTGTGGCAACCACAAATGTATATAGACTTATGATCACTTCGCCAGATAGGGGTGGTGAAGGCGCGCGAATTGGATCCGCATGCAGACACACAACCTTCCACCAATCGCTGCAACTCAGGCATAACATCATTAGCAGGAGTGAGACGCCTCCACGGCCTGGCCACCACGCTCTTTCGTTTGCAGCGGATCATGACTGCACCTCGTAAACTTGCATTCGTTCAGAATCCATCAGTCAATAGAAAGGGTAATATTTCAACTAACCTTCACAAATTCTGCCTTAATGTGTCCTCCTGAGACCGTTGTGAACCGAGCGATATGCAATACTCATCTTGTGCGTAGCACAAACTTAGATTGCCGCCGAAATCTGGACTGAAGACGCATCGAAAAGCGCCTGCAAAGATAATGTCCCACAGAACAGCTCCTTGCAACTCTAGCATAAATAGCGACAACAAAATGGTTTCCAAAAAATAAAAAAAGAGCTGTCCAAAAAATTCTCGATATTTGTGGAAAGCGGTGGGTCGATCACGCACGGTTATATACATAGATCGACGTTTTGTCTGAGTCAGGCTGCGTCTTATACTTTGCGGCAGCGCTAGCCGATAGCGTAGCCAGCAGTAGTACGCTTCCGAGCGTAGACGCCACAGCGGCAGTGCCGAATAGAGGATGCATATCGATCTAGCTTCACCAGCGTTTCTCGAGCGTTTCTCCAGCGGCACCAGCGTTTTGCTAGCGCTTGCAGCGGCAGGGAGTAGAGACTATGGGAGAGCTGGAGAGTACAAAACACATCGATTTCTCGTAGTGAAATGTGGCGCGTGTAGTCGCACCACATCAGTGGGCAATACCGTACTCCAAACGATCAATACGCGCGGATTTGAGTGTTGAAACTGATGTTTTTGGGTCGTCTTCAGCCGTGATTTAAGTGTTGAAATCGATGTTTTTTAGTCGTTTTCGGTCCGCTTCGCCCGTTCCCCTTTGAAGATGTATTTCGTTCATTTTTTCTGAAAAAAAAATCTTTTCCACCCCCCCTTGGGCGAAATTGCAATTTGTCCTTGCTTTTTCACTTTTATTTATGTAATTACGATTTGCAATTGAAGACTGTGGCTTTGCAGTATTAGTATAAATATAAAGTATATAGTGTAGTGTATAAATATGAAGTATATAGTGTAGTGTATAAATATAAATATATAGTGTATAGTATAAATAAACGAAATCCATCATCAAAGCCACAATCCGCAATTGCAAATCGTGTTTACATAAAAAAAGTGAAAAAAGCAAGACGATTTTAAACAAAAGTGAAAAAGCAAGGACAATTTGCAATTTCGCTAAGAAAGATTCAGAAAAAAATAACGAAACCCATCATCAAAGGGGAAGGGGCGAAGCGGACCGAAGACGACCCAAAAACATCGATTTCAACACTCAAATCACGGCCGAAGACGACCCAAAAACATCAGTTTCAACACTCAAATCACGGTATTGATCGTTTGGAGTACGGTAGTGCCCACTGATGTGGTGCACTACACGCGCCACATTTCACTACGAGAAATCGATGTGTTTTGTACTCTCCAGCTCTCCCATAGTCTCTACTCCCTGCCGCTGCAAGCGCTAGCAAAACGCTGGTGCTGAAACGCTGGAGAAACGCTCGAGAAACGCTGGTGAAGCTAGATCGATAGCTATGCTTCCCGTGCCCTCGCTACGCCGCTACGCCAGCGTGCCGCTGGTGACGCTGGTGAAGCTAGATCGATATGCATCCTCTCTTCGGCACTGCCGCTGGCGTACGCTGGAAGCGCTACGCTACGCTGCCGCAAAGTATAAACGCAGCCTTAGCCGAACGTTCAAGAGTTGCCATGTGGCACAGTTACTCTATAGGATAAGAATTGCATTTCGGTTGGTCTCTGCTTTCACTGCATGAACCAAATCGCAGTTGGAGGCGGATGAATGAAGCATCTCAGAAAGGGTAGTCAGTGGCAAATCCTTCACCACTAGTCCCCTTTCCGGGCTAATCTGGGCTAGAGGCCATTCTAGTGTGAAATTCTAAGAACGCAACTTTGGCCTTTCCTGAGATCATGTTTGGTTATCCTCAGTATGGGAGGACATCTTTGATGTTTCTGCTGGCATTCATTTACAGAACATTCAAGACTCATCAAAGAAGGAATCAAGCCAAATGGAGGCAGTTCGGCGACGGGGGAGCATTTTGCACTTCTGCTGCTCCACTAGTTCTGGTTTGCATCTCACCCGGTGAGACCTGTGAGCTTCCCTGAAGCTGGAGGAACCTCTAGAATTTATGAACCTCCGTAAACTCATAAAATAGCTCTGGAGATGGCTCTATACGTCGATGAGAAGTAGCGATAGTGCAAAATGCCCCCCCCCCAAACCCCTTCCTCCCCCCGTCGCCGAGCTGCGCCGCCCACACAAATGGATGAGAGGATGAGCAGC